GCTGGTACTCGCGGGAGAGAGCTAAATAAATCCTGGTGAATCAAGAGACGCTGGAGCTGGGTAGGACACAAGAAGATTTAAGAACAATATAAGGAGAATGTCTTTACACTGGATCCAACGTGTTCATAGAAGAAAACAAAGAAACCGAATAAAATACACACGGAGACAGAAACAAGAGAGTGCGGTTAAGAAGAGGAGGATATGAAGTGAGCTGGATGCCATAGAAAGGACTGGATGACTCGGCGAGAGCAGGTTAGTGGGGAAGGCGGGGTGGCTTTGATCCATTGGGGATTAAACGGCAGGAAGAGGAAATACTGGAAAAAAAATAAGAAAGAAAGAAAGAAAGAAAGAAAGAAAGAAAGAAAGAAAGAAAGAAAGAAAGAAAGAAAGAAAGAAAGAAAGAAAGAAAGAAAGAAAGAAAGAAAGAAAGAAAGAAAGAAAGAAAGAAAGAAAGAAAGAAAGACAGACAGACAGACAGACAGACAGACAGACAGACAGACAGACAGACAGACAGACAGAAAGAAAGAAAGAAAGAAAGAAAGAAAGAAAGAAAGAAAGAAAGAAAGAAAGAAAGAAAGAAAGAAAGAAAGAAAGAAAGAAAGAAAGAAAGAAAGAAGAAAGAAAGAAAGAAAGAAAGAAAGAAAGAAAGAAAGAAAGAAAGAAAGAAAGAAAGAAAGAAAGAAAGAAAGAAAGAAAGAAAGAAAGAAAGAAAGAAAGAAAGAAAGAAAGAAAGAAAGAAAGAAAGAAAGAAAGAAAGAAAGAAAGAAAGAAAGAAAGAAAGAAAGAAAGAAAAAATGAAAAGCATAAGAAGAAGAAGAAGAAGAAGAAGAAGAAGAAGAAGAAGAAGAAGAAGAAGAAGAAGAAGAAGAAGAAGAAGAAGAAGAAGAAGAAGAAGAAGAAGAAGAAGAAGAAGAAGAAGAAGAAGAAGAAAGTGTCACTTCTCGATGGGTGATATAGCCACCATATCATTCACTTGTGTACATCCTATTAAACCACCAATCCGATCCAGCTTTATACAAAGAGTTAATTAGTCAGATTATTTTGTTTTGTTTCGGAAAACCAAAATCACATTCAATGAATTCAGAAAGAAATTTCCATTTATTAGGGGGAGGCAGCTGTGTATAATTATCAGTTGACCCTTCCCGCTTTTGTTCTTGTCCCGCTCTTCCCTGACTGGTCATTGCCACCAGCGGCAAGTCACAATCTGGTTTTAATGCCAGGAATATTCTATTACCTCCTGGACTTTATCATTTCCCCCGTCGTGTCACCGATCACTGATGTCCTATCAATGATTAAACAGCTGTAGTCGCCATGATTAGTGGTAAGCCTGTTATCTCGCGGCTATTCGGTTGCCTCTCATGGATCACTCATGAAATGGGAGCAGTTTAAAACTTGCTTGATTCATTACCCTATAGAGGTCGAGTGTCGAATAAACTTATTGTTTCATTTGATTATCCATCGGTGTTGTACGAGCGACAACCGCTTTACCACTTTAATTTACGGTGCCGTAAAAAGCTGACTCCGTTAACCACCTGTAATTGTGCTTTGTTATAAAGAGCCCCTCGAGTGTAAAGTGATCTTTGTAAATTAAGTACTTTTTGTTTCATTAATGTGTGGTAATTCCTTACGCGTGCAAAAGTTTAATGTTGATTTTTTTTTTGGGTGTTGTCTTTTTTAGTGTTTGTCGCGTGAACTGAACTTTTAATTATGTTAAAAAAATATTTTAGTCAGCCAGACTCGCTCATACATTCTTTTTTCCCCCTTCCCCCTCTCCCCACCTCCATTTGTGTGTGTATGTGGGTGTATGTTGTTCTGTGTATGTAGAGAGAGTTTGTAAGTGTGTGAATATACAAATTTATGTGAATTTAAGTGTGTCTGTGTGCGTGTTTATGTGTGCAATTGCTTTTTTTTTCTGCTACCAAATCGTAAATGCCTAAATACTATCGCAGTTCATCATATGCTAAGTTGATGAAAAAAATACTGTATAGTTGATGCTGTGTTGCATTGCTCATTCTGTATCTCTTGTCTTCTGTCCCTTGGTTCGACAATAATTTCTGAAACAGAACGATGCCTTGACTCCAACCTGCTGAAAAATCTTTCCTTCGTCTACCCAAAGAGCTATTCCACTCCAAGTGGCCTACTGTCACGACACACTACAGTTTGCCCATCTCATAGCGTACGTTAAGACTCTTCTGTTTCTGCATTTGTTCTAAAATGGCGATTGACATGTTGTGTTGCGATGTTAGCGCTTTTCCACCCAACACTAGTCATATCTTCATCTTCTGACATTTCTTATGGGAGACAGAGCAGCTGTGTGTATGTTCGGTGTGCTGCGGTGATACGATCGTTAACAATAAATATATCAGTTAAGCAGTCTTGTACTGTCCTGCCATCTCTTCTGTACTTCTACATATCGTTCAATAAATCAGGTTCTGATAGCAATGTTCAACTGTCTTGGTGAATGTCCACTTGTGCTCCTTACAAATATTGTCCACTTTAAATGGTATTTCAACGCGACGGAATTGACGTTATTACAGAGATAAATATCAAAAATGTCTGCAGAGCTGCCCACAGAGAGCGTTGCACAAAGCACGAAATACGGTCGTTAAAGCGACCATCTTTAGGGACATTCGAAACGCGGTCAACCCAGAGACTGTAGATGGAGTGAGACACATTGATATTTTGCCTGGGCAATGCAGGACGCTAGGAAATAAACAGGCAGATGGGTTGGCTGGATTAGCCCGATTGGAAAAAGTAGTGGGGGGAGGGTGGGCAGGGGGGGGGGGGGGTTCACTGCAACCTCCCAGAGAATTCGTGACATCTTGCCTGTTGGACGAGATAACAAGTAAAATACTCTATACACGTACCTGGTGGGAAAAGTCAACAGAGTGTATCTGGAAGCTCAGTATACCACTCGAGACTAGGGTAGAGTTGGGAATGTGGGGGGGGGGGGGGGGGGAAGAGAGGACGAGTAGTTAACCAGACAACGAGTATCATCCCTGTAGAGACTTTTCACTGCCTGTCGAAGAGGAAGACAATGAGAAAATAATTTGTTGTGAATGCTGTGAAGTCGAACCAAGCTGGATCTGAAACACCAGCACACAAGAACAGAAAGATAGAATATAAATAGAGCTCAAAGCCTTCAGAAGGCGAGACAAACCGCTGAAAGACTTCGCCAAGGAGACCCTCTTAACCAATACGAACCGAAGGATGCGCGGATACCCAAACTCAGTGGCTCTCAACCTTCCTTTGACACAGTTCGCTTATGTTGTGGCCACCCGCAAACAATTATTTTGCTTCATTACCTCAGTGAATATGTGTTTTCCGAAGGTCTTAGACGACCATTGTGAGAGGGCAGTTCGACAACAAAAAAGGGCCACGACTGGTTGGGAACCGCTGCCGTAACTGCTCGAGCTGACCCACAGTCTGTTTCCCAACCTCCACAACCAGGGAACATCCTTCCTTCATCTAACTGGTCTGTTTCTCAACCTCCAAAACCATGGAGCATCTTTCCTTCATCTAACTGGTCTGTTTTTCAACCTCCACAACAAGGGAGCATCTTTCCTTCATCTAACTGGTCTGTTTCTCAACCTCCACAACCAGGGAGCGTCTTTCCTTCATCTAACTGGTCTGTTTCTCAACCTCCACAACAAGGGAGCATCTTTCCTTCATCTAATTGGTCTGTTTCCCAACCTCCACAACCAGAGAACATCTTTCCTTCATCTAACTGGTCTGTTTCCCAACCTCCACAACCAGGGAGCGTCTTTCCTTCATCTAATTATTAGGTCATGTTGACATCCCCCTTCTCCTCCTCATCCGCATCATCATATTTGTATTAAATTTACGATAATTATTATTATTATTATTATTATTATTATTATTATTATTATTATTATTATTATTATTATTATTATTATTATTACTGAAATCCGTTTAGCGTAACAGTTCAATGTTAGTCAGTCAGTCTGTAGATCTTTGGTTGGAACCAACATCAGGTAGAATATGTTAAAATATGACCTTGGCTAAAAAGTCGACCAATCCCAAAATAGGTACCAGGTATTAACATGGGAAGTAAAAGTGGCCGGCGTGATGTTGACCACAAAACCCATAGACTATCTACAGATCTATACAACTATCTGTCTAACATCCCTTAGCTTGTTGCGCCGCTTTGCGTTCCGTGTCCGTTATAATGGAATCATCGTCATCGTCAAGAGGTTATTACTATTACGACAACAACTACTACTACTATTACTACAACAACTACTACGACTATTACTGCAACAACTACTACGACTATTACTACAACAACTACTATGACTATTACTACAACAACTACTACGACTATTACTACAACAATTACTACGACTATTACTACAACTACCACTACTACTATTACTACTACTTCTACTACTACTACTACTACTACTACTACTACTACTACTACTACTACTACTACTACTACTACTACTACTACTACTACTACTACTACTACTACTACTACTACTACTACTACTACTATTACTACTACTACTACTAATACTACTACTACTACTACTACTACTACTACTACTACTACTACTACTACTACTACTACTACTACTACTACTACTATCACTACAACTAATACTACTAAAAGGTAAGTAAAGGTAAGGTCACAATTTTACGCCTTAGGCGTATTATGAATTTCGGGCTAGACCGATATTTTTTTATAGACCAATCGACACTTGGTGGGTGATGTGGTCAGCATCACGCCAGCCGCCTTTACTTCTCAGGACTGCATCTGGTACCCACTAATACTATACTACTGCTACTGCTACTACTACTACTAATACTACTACTACTACTACTACTAATACTAATACTACTACTACTACTACTACTACTACTACTACTACTACTACTACTACTACTACTACTACTACTACTACTGCTGCTGCTGCTGCTGCTGCTGCTGCTGCTACTGTTACTGTTATTACTACTATCATGTTGTTCTTCGACAGCTGGAAGAGCTGGAGAAAGCCTTCTCACAGACGCACTACCCTGACGTCTTCATGCGCGAGGACTTGGCCATGAGAATTAACCTCACTGAAGCTCGAGTTCAGGTTAGTATACAAGCTGCCTGTTTGCTAAATGGTTGTTGATGATGTTGTTGATGATGTTGTTGATGATGTTGTTGATGATGTTGTCGATGATGTTGTTGATGATGTTGTTGATGATGTTGTTGATGATGTTGTTGATGATGTTGTTGATGATGTTGTTGATGATGTTGTTGATGATGTTGTTGATGATGTTAAAGTTGTTCTTGTTCTTGAAATTGCTGACTGTACTTGTACTTGTAGGTGTTTCATATATTGGGGGGAGGGGGAGGGGGTGTGTTAGAGGGGTGGAGGAAGGTTTCGAGGGGTTGATAGATTCACTGCTCACTAGTGAGCATGTCGTAAAAGGTAACTAATTAACTATGTGTCGTTCGAAGTCAGAGTGCATCTGTCTGGTAGCCGAGGAACCAACAATACGTATACATATAGGTCTAATCTTTAAAACGGTTGTGCACGCAAAACTCAAGTTCTGGAACAAGACCAAAATCAAGTAATGGACGAACAATCAGAAATTTCCCCTGGAGATTACAGTCAGTGAACGCTAAGAAGAAGTAGAAAGAAGAACAGATTTCTTATAGACACATATAACAGAAATTAAAAAAAAGTATCTACTAAACAAAGCCAAAATTAATGCTATACGGCTGCAAAATATAATAATAGTATTATCTTGAGCTCAAAAAGACGAAGAAAAATAAAATCAAAACAACGATAAGTGAAAGAAATAATGACCGTGATCACCAAACATCTACGTCCGTACGTCAACTATAGAAGACATGAGCACATAAGCTAACGCATTGTCCACATATTTGTCAGACGGGAAAAAGAAAAACGCAATGACAAACTTCAGGCCTCTCATCAGGAAGACTATAGTGGCCGCTGTGTTGTGTTAATTTTATTTGCAAATTATCTTAAACCATCCAATAATTTTATTTGCCGATGATATTAAGAAAAGCCGCGCAACTGTAGGCGCCTGGCTGCTCGATATTTCAATAAAGCTTTTCTCAGATACGCAAACACGTCGAAATACAAACAAACCCTTGGCGCACAAAGAGTCTTCTGCTCATTAGGATCGAGCCTAATTTGCCGATCCTCCCTTAATTTATTTGTATCTTTACCTTTATCTGATTATCCCTAGATTTTCCATTCTAATAAAACATTCTGTATTTTAAAAATAGCCTGCATCGATCTATGGAAGGTGGGAGATAACTGGGAGTCTGTAGCTACGTTTTCTGCTTTAAGAGAACATCCGCGGAACGTGGAAGAGGAACAATGGAAGGAAACTGTTAAAAGAATTTTTATTTCTTAATTTTATTTCCTGGTTATGTTTTCTGCTCCCCGTCTCCACAGTAAGATAAAACCACAGCGATATGCATTGAGAGCAGGTAAAACAGCTGAGGAAGGAAAATAAAAACAAGGAATCAACATTCACAACGCACATAACGATAAGCCCACATATTGTCTTATTTCAGCTGGGCTTTTCAGTAATCCTATAATAAAAGAACAGCGTTGAACGAAATCATTGTATGCAAGTTGTAATTGAAAAAAATAAAAGCATATCCCAGAAGCTCTCCTTGATCGGTATCTTCAGTCTTAACTGAGTGTTTATGGGAGTGGCCCCAGTGATGTGATGTCGGTTCTTAATTCAAAAAAAAAAAAATGAAATGCAGAGTGGGGTAAGTGGTGGGCGGGGGGGGGGAGGGGTGGTAGGACTTTCCTCTTTTAGAGTTCTAGTAACTTTTTCCGCCCCAAACCAAGACCGGCTCCAGCTGACGGGCCATGCTGTGACGTCACCAAACCGGGCTAACGATACGTTAACAGAGTGGTTCTCAAAATGCGTGCCGCTGCAATAAGCGTGTGTCGAGGCGCTGCGGCAATAATCGTATGTCGAGGCGCTGCGGCAATAATCGTATGTCGAGGCGCTGCGGCAATAAGCGTATGTCGAGGCGCTGCGGCAATAAGCGTGTGTCGAGGCGCTGCGGCAATAAGCGTATGTCGAGGCGCTGCGGCAATAAGCGTATGTCGAGGCGCTGCGGCAATAAGCGTATGTCGAGGCGCTGCGGCAATAATCAAGAAGTTTGTCAAATCTGCTTTACATTAATTTTTTTTTTTTTCAAAGTATTCAAACCGCTTTAACTCTTTGAGTCCCAAGGAACTCATCATACGTTTATAGGTTCCTACCTAGAAGCCCAATGAACGCAAGATGCGCCGATTTTATGACTCTTTACTACCCCCTGGGCCTGTGATGCTAAACCCCCTGGGACTCAAAGAGTTAAGAAGAAGTTTGTAGCGAAATTTTGCCTGACGAAAAACGTTTGAGAAACACTCCGTTAACATATCGTTAGCCCGGTTTGGGTACGTCAGATGCATGGTCTGTCAGCTAGAACCGGTCTTGCCCGAACACATCGTGATTGGCGGTTCATTCATGTTTCGTTACCTTTCACGTGCCCTTGTCCAAATTACATGGTCGTGTGTCGTTGCGTTGCGTTGGATCTTCTGAGCCGTGTATATTGCGCTTCGTGTTGGTGTGAGTATATTATAGCTTTGTGGGACTTCAAGTAAGATATGTATTTACTTCAGCTGTGAGCGTTGAGTAGCGACAAGGAGAGCAGCATTGCTTTTCTGCAGCAAGACGGCTTTTTAGGGCCCGCCGCAAAATGTTGACAATTTGGAAACCAGGGGACGCGCACTCTCTCGTGGAACGTAGGTTGAGGCTATGGGTTGTGGTTAGGGCCAGTTTTAGATGTTGCGTTGTCGTTAAAAGCGATCACATCGTGTAAATAGAACAAGGGATATCGCCGAGGATAGCGTCGAAGAAAACACAACGTGACTACCCTGTAACTTAGATTAGCGCCGCATGTCAAAGGTTTGTAAGCATGAATGAACAGCCGATCACGGTGTGTTTGGGGCGAAAAACGTTCGAAGGACCCTTTTAGTTCCAACTGGGTTCTTCTCGTCCATCCTAAGAAGTTGTTACTTCAGCTAAGAAATAAACGCATGTAAACGCTTTGAAAAAAAAAATGATTTAAGGCATTAGCTAGGACTGAGAAGGTGAACCTAGCAACTGGATAAAAGAAACCTTTTGGTGTTTTCTCTCCAGCCTGCTGCATGAAGGTTTCACCACCCTGAATTTGCATCTGTTCCTGAATACATATTTGAATTTGTGTTCACATTTGAATGTGGCTTTTTTCTAGACAAACTGCTTGGTTACTCACCTCTCAGGTAGATGCACTTCGACTTTAAAGGAAACCTCCATAGTTGGTCGCCTCCTACGACATGCTTTGTTGGGAGATAATGGGTCTTTCTTTTCTCCTAAAATGGGACCACTGAACCCACACGTGAGGGGGGGGGGGGGAACTGGCTAGTGAAATCGCATACAGCCAAAAATAATGCTGGAACAGGCTCAGCGTTGTTATGTAAAGCAGGCATGTCAAACTAGTGGTCCGCGGGCTGCATGCGGCCCTTTGCAATCACACCTGCGGCCAGCACAAACGAAATATTCTGCAATCATTTTTATTAAATGACTTCAGCTCGTTGGTCATGGCGACACAAACATGATCAACCCACATGACCCCCGAGGGGACCCTCAGTTTGACCTGCTTGATGTAAAGGATACTCAGTTAAGTTGTTATCCTATTATATTGCATTAAAATTATTGGTGGGTCCCTTCTGAGCGTGTGTGTGGCTTGTGAGTCTAGGGAGGCAACTCAAGACGTTAGTTAATTATTGTAAACTAAATCCATATTACCCTAATGTTGTTGGAATACACTGGGTAGAGCTTCGTTAACTGTATTGTGTTCAGCTGGATCAGGAGGTAGGACGGAATTGATTGAAGAACTTATGGGAATATTTAAATATTGTTTAAGAGGAGAAAAAAATATACAGATGAATGGATAGAAAGCGGGACTCGCTGACTTGTAGATAAAAACAGGGGTGACTGCAACCGGGCTAATTTAGCGTTATTGTTACTATTATTTCTACTATGATTATTACTATTATTACTCATATTTGTTATTATTACTATTATTATTATTATTATTATTATTATTACTATTATTATTGTTGTTATTATTATTATTATTATTATTATTATTATTATTATTATTATTATTATTTCAACAACTACTACTTTCGTCGCTTCATTTATTGTTTTCGTTCCACACATGCGGGCACTGATGGCAAAGATACTCGGGGACTTCTGTTGTGGTTTGTGTCGAGAATTGCTCCGAACTAAACGTCCAAATCTTGTGTGTGTATGTTTTTTGACACCACCACCACCTACACCCCCCCCCCTCCCCCACTAGGCTTCTTAGCGATGGTTCAATGATGGATAATGACTTAGAGGTGGTCTATCTATCTATCTATCTATCTATCTATCTATCTATCTATCTATCTATCTATCTATCTATCTATCTATCTATCTATCTATCTATCTATCTATCTATCTATCTATCTATCTATCTATCTATCTATCTATCTATCTATCTATCTATCTATCTATCTATCTATCTATCTATCTATCTATCTATCTATCTATCTATCTATCCATCCATCCATCCATCCATCCATCCATCCATCCATCCATCCATCCATCCATCCATCCATCCATCCATCCATCCATCCATCCATCCATCCATCCATCCATCCATCCATCCATCCATCCATCCATCCATCCATCCATCCATCCATCCATCCATCCATCCATCCATCCATCCATCCATCCATCCATCCATCCATCCATCCATCCATCCATCCATCCATCCATCCATCCATCCATCCATCCATCCATCTATCTATCTATCTATCTATCTATCTATCTATCTATCTATCTATCTATCTATCTATCTATCTATCTATCTATCTATCTATCTATCTATCTATCTATCTATCTATCTATCTATCCCTCCCTCCCTCCCTCCCTCCCTCCCTCCCTCCCTCCCTCCCTCCCTCCCTCCCTCCACCCACCCACCCACCCACCCGTCCGTCCGTCTGTCCGTCCGTCCGTCCGT